TACCACAAGAGTGGCTCTACAATCAAATTTAGAAGCATTGCTTCCTTCTCTGTAGTGTACTCTAGCGTACTCTAAGAATAAAAGAACTGAGGAACAACTTCTAATTACCTAGAAGGTGATATTCACTATAAGGCACTTTTCTAGGTGACACAAAAAACCATTTAATAGCCTTCAATATTTAAATATGTACCTTAGTGTGGCGAAATTGCCAAATTTTTATTTTGGATGATAGCTTTACCTCGTTCCTGTAAATTGGTGGCAAGTTCCTAGCCAAAGGAAATTATGACTACATATGGGCTCACCAAGATTGTTGAGCATGAGCTCTTAGGAAGGAAATATTTGGGCAACAAACTTTAGAAAGTTGATGCATGCCATGACCTTCAATGATTAGAGTCGTACTTACCTGTTTTCAAATTGCAATATATTAGCACTCCTAAAAAAAATTTCCTGGGTTATGACAGAGTGTCTTAAAGGTAAGTAATCAAGGAGCAATTAATCTACGTTTTACAACAAGGGCCAACCAAGGAGCAATCCTATAAAGTTATATTGAATGGATCAACACAAAAAGTTTCCATGAAGGACATTTCGTGCTCCAAACTGCAGTAGCTAAGAAATGCCCCCTGTAGGTCATTAGTCAATTCACTAGCTATGCATAAGATGGTTGGATTTAGAATTTTAAAAAAAGTTTATTTTAGATTTCTGTTGCCAATTTTGAGTTCCATACTTTTTTTCTGTTCTTATTTCTTATTTGTAGAATCCCTTTGTTTTATGTACACAATATCCAATGTTTTATATGACTATGAAAATGTGTTGCATCTGTTACTTCTTTCATCCATAGCACTTATATTTCTGCAAGTGGATTAGAGGCTTGGAGCTTATAATTCAAAAGCACAGTAGTTAAACAAAAGGCTTATCATTTAAAATGCAGGTTGTAGCAGCTATGTGTTCCAAAGTTCCTTTTCTCAGCAACGCAATTATGAAAGCTACTCAAAGTGGTAGGTGAAGGAAATTATATTTCCTCATGTTTATAATCATGATATAACTTGTCATATCTGTTTAGCTTTTGGTGTTATCTGTTTTATAATGAAGAAATACAGAGATGTAATATATATACATGACCTCTCTGTCACAGGGGATAAGTTTTATTTAATCATTTGCATTTAATTTACATCATGTTAATTAGTCTAAGTGAAATTCTTGGAGCAGTCTGAGGACTATGAAATACTCAGTGAAACGAAATGCAAATATGACCAGATTTTCCTTCGTAATCACAATAATATAAGAATATTAAATAATGAAGTGTGATTGACATAAAAGCAGAGCTAGTGCTATGAGGAGATAGATCTATGACTGTCAACTGTGGCCTTCACCATTTTCTAGAGATATTAATATTTCTCTTTCGCCCATGAAATGGTTTTTGTAGAGAAACTGTGATTTATGAATATAAACCCAGTGATTGTTGTTGGATCCTCTTTAAAGGTGCTGTATTAATCGAACTTTATAGGTGGTTTTTGTATTGTCAACCTATTTTAAAGTTGTTTACGTGAAAAAAAAACCCAAAAAAATATTGCAGCAAAATAATACTCCTGGTAACCTGTTATTTTGGTAAAACTTACTTATAAAATTGCTAAAACGACTTTTGTGCTGTTATTGCGTATTTTCGACCGTTCTAACTTTCATCAATCTATTGGCACTGGGATTGCAGATTCGTTCAACTTGTTGGTTAATAATGGATTAGCTGCGGGACAAGTAATTTTTCATGTACGTTTGATTGCTTCTCTAGAATGTCACTGCCTTCATTAGTTTTATCTTATATTTTTTCATCCATTAACTATGTTTGAACATTTAAATTTCAGACTCATTTCCACATAATTCCTCGTAAAACAGGCGACAAGTTGTGGCCTTCAGAGGTAAGGGACTCTAAATCTCTCCTTAATTCCTCGCTCTAGACAATAATTGATTGTATCCTGAAATTTCACAGAATTCGAGAAGACGACCTCTGATATATAACGAGAATACATTTGTTCTTGTCGATTGCATTAGAGAACAGCTTTCGAATTCATCTTCTAATGATAGCTGTGTCGATTGTGAATCTATTCTCTCAAAGACTTGTTAAATTGACTGTGGCAGTTATATGTTTGCTTATTCTTGTTATACATATGCGTTTTTGTTCCAAGAATGTTCAAGATGTGATGAGTTCATTGATTGCTCTTTGAATACATATATATATGATAGAAGATTCCTTGGATCAAGAATGTAGAGGTTAAAGCAGGCTTGTCTTTGTTAAGAGTGTGAATATGAAGAGCTCTTTTATCACTTGGTGTCTGTTTGACCCAGAAAAAGAAAATCTCTTTCTCTGAGGCCAAAGAGTCAAATAAATAATAATAATAATAATAATAATAATAATAATAATAATAATAATAATAATTAATAAATAAATAAATAAATATGAAAATCATTTAGGGGTCTATCCGCAACATTATAGCTACAAGTGGTTTATTCACAATTTGGCTATAGTACAAGGTCTCATCGGCAATTAAACCTGTTAAAAATGCGGCTGTTTGGTTTGGACGGACGCCAGAATCTTTGCTGTCATAGATTGTAGAGAACTCCTACAATTGTTTATGTGGATGAATAGTTGTGGATCATCTAGGGAAACCAACAATTAAAATATTTTGTATATTATTTAGGTAATGAACGAATGATATTATCATTTTCATAGGCTTCGCAGAGGGATGAATTGTGATTGGTGAGTTGAGGTTCTCTATAACCAAAGATGTAGAGAATCTTACGTTATTGCAATATTAGACGCTGATGCCAAAGTAAAATGGATTTAGACCCTCCAATTCTGAAAGATAGTGGAGATCAAATCCACTATTTTTCATCCAACTGTTCACTATTTAATGAACTATTGTGACTTGTTTTATTGAGTGCAAAATAATAATAAATGTAATTCATGGCGGTGTTATATTTGGAAGAGCGACAATCTTTTACATTTTGATGAGAACGTATCAGTCTCTGGCCTATGTCATCAGATATACACCAATGAGATTGACCATTCTTGAATCATTGAATTTTAATATTCGTTATCGACCCGATGATTAACATCCATTCAGTGCACGTTAAATGATATGAACAATAACCCATTGGATACTTTGTGGTTTGGAGAGTAACTATAGGGATTGAAACTAGATGTTGGTAAATGCATTTGTTGGCTCACTTCTAATCAAACATTCAGCCTGTACAGGAATAGGCGAATGAGGGACAACCACAAGGAGTACAAATACACAAAGGAAAGGATTCATATACTTTCCTTCTGACAGGCCAGAGTCTCAGACTTTCAAACTGAGAAATGCACCAGGAAATGTTCTGACAAGATTAAGGACTAAACAACAAATATCCTTCAGGCCTTTCTCTCTCTCTCTCTCTCTCGAGTGAGATCGAGCGCATGCATTGGGAGCTCGATCGGTGCATGGTTGCTCTCTTTTGGCATCTGCTAATTAAAGTAGCTTGGTTGGGTCCCACTCTCTGTCGTGATCATGTCAGTGATGGGACCCACAAAAAACTGCAGAGACGAGGATTTTCTCGTCCTCTTTCTACCCGTACGCCGCGCTTTTGCACCTCTCGAGGTTTGTTCATTTGTACGTACGCTCACCATAACAAATACTTGCTGCGTTTATGGACAGGAAAAGGTGAAAAAGAAAAGTTCAGGAAAGCCTCTTTTATTTAATGTAGAGTCTATAAACAAAGTATTTTTTACTAAGATATATAATAAAGCAAAATTAAAAAGTCTTTAAACTCATTAAAGAATGCCATATCATCTTCCTCCTCAAAAATTTGTTGACACGTGTACTTTCTTACCAGACGTTCATCTAAATGAGATTTCTTTTTAGGACCTGTTCGTTTATTTCCTAAAAACCAAGAAATGAAAATGGAAAATGTGGAAATCTCAAAATAATCCATTTCTTCCATTTTCATCCCTAAAACTCACCCACAACATCCAATAAAATATTAATTTCATACAACAACTCATCCACATCATCTAATAAAATATTATTTTTATCTAACAACTCATCCACCACATCTAATAAAATATTATTTTTATCTAACAACTCATTCATCACATCTAATAAAATATTATTTTCATCCAAACATCACTCAACTCATCTCTTTTTATCATTTCAAATCACTCACATCATCGAATAAAATATTATAACAATTCACCTCATCTCATTAACATTTTATTTCTTTGTTTTCATCTCAAAAAGTTGTGAAAACATTTGTCTTAATCTTTCTTCACATCACCCAATAATACAATGACAACTCATCTCATCTCATTTCATTTCTTATTTTTAAGAACGAACCAAACAAAAGAAAACAACAAAACTACAGGAAATATGTTTCTTATAATTCATTTCCTTATTTTTTCGCCAACCGAACAACATCAAAACTAGTTTTCTTAAAAAATCACTCACATCATCCAATAATAATGTGACAACTCATCTCATCTCATCTCCATTTCTTTGATTTCCTTTTTTTTAGCCAACCAAACAATTCAAAAACCCATTTTTCTTAGAAATAGTTTTCTATTTCTTTGATTTCCCATTTTTTTAAGGCAAACGAACAGGCCCTTAATGGTAGATCTAAATACATGTAGCGATTTCACATATGAAAAAAAATTCAATTTGCAATATTAATGCAGACTTACCACATATAGTTTAATTAAAAAGTAATTTTGTTTGGAATATATTAGGTATGATTTAACTAATTAGGTAATATTTTGACATCTGTATAATATCGGGTATATATATTTTGTAACCATATTTGCGCATTTATGATTTATCAAATCAATTTTCTTTCTCAATCTTTACCAAAAGAAAATTCCTCAAGGACCCAAAATATGGGACCAATAGGGGGGACAAGTGAGGTGTCCCACTCCTATTGGATAATGAGTTGGCAATCATTAATGATGGCCAACTCATTATCTAATAGAAGGGGGA